TTTTTTGTCACTCCTTTGTGCTACAGAGACCTCTCCAAACTCTAGCCAAGATCAGTGGTTTTCCTAATCTAGAAGCCTTCTGGAAAAGCCATTGGCCCTTGGTGGCTGGTATAGGTCAGATCTCTCTCCCTCTCTCTCACTGTAATCACTGAAGTGCTGGTCCCTTTTGGATGCAGGAACTAAGCTAGATTCCCTGAGCTGCTCTCTCTCTCTCTCTCTCAGTTTAAACTCTTTTTACCAGCTAACTTGAGGATGTCAAGCTCTATTTTGTTGCTAGACGAGTCGACTGCTTTTGTCCAGCTGAACCTACGCAGGGGCCTCCCCATGTAGTCCCAGGCTGGGGTTTAATGTTTCTTCTGTCCCCACTGCTCATACACCCATGATGGAAATAGGCTTAGTGGGTGTGTCTTGACCAGCACACACATGTAAGCATTCACCATGCCACCAGAAAGGGAGCGTGGTCAACTGGAGCTACACTCTGGCTGCTGGCCAGACTCCAGCACCGCTGCTGCCCTGAGAGGCTCCCAGCCCCCAAGGTAAGGCTGCTGGGGCCAGCACAGGTACTGGCCCAAGCCTCTCTTACCCCACCTACGTGACTGCCACTGCTATTTGTCCCTCGGAAACGTGTGCCCCTGCACTTGCATGCTTATTGGGATGTGTCAAGAGGTTTGATGCCATGTTACTTGTAGTCCTTTTGGTGGGGTCCCCTGGAGTTGCCTGCAAAGTTGCAATAACTGGGAAAGCCATAGGGTGGGGATTACCTTTGAAAGAGATCAGGATGTCAGGAGGAGAGTAGCACATTTTGCTTTTATTTGTCAACATAACTGCACTCAAAATTAACACAATTGTGACTGCATCTTAAATGAATGAGAAATTAGTAGAATTGACTAAATGGTGACTAGTATGGTAGAACAAAGAAATGTTGGTAATTAAAGGAAACATTCAAATGAGAGAGACCTAGTCACATTCTAAAACAGATAAATATTTCATTTTCCCATTTCAGTTTGTTTGCTTTAAAATTCTTTTTTTTTAAACAGTTCCCAATTTACCTCTTTATGTATTAGACATAGCCTTCTGCAACTTCTCTTTTCAAACTGAAAGGTGAAACCCTGGCCCCATTTAATTCAATGGAAGATGGACATTAATTTAATTGGTGTCAGGATTTCATCCCAAAATACTTGGCAGAAGTAGTACTAATCTCTGTTTAAATAATAGGGAAATAACAAATGGTTTATAAATCTAAATATCAAAATCAATAAGAAAAGAAAGCCACAGGCTGCTAAGATTACACTCATTTATTTTTGCCCATTTCATATTGGGAACTTTTTATCAAGCCATTATCTTTAAGCAAAATTCCTATTTTCTTCAATGGAGTGTTCTAATAAAATCTGATAGATTCATGTGGCTCTAAATCCCGTTGCTGTGTCACCACCTTCACCTTTGATTACAGGTGCTAGAACAGGGATTACTAAATATGAAAAAGGTCATGATTCATGCAGGGAGAAAGCAGTTTGTTCTAACAAACATCATGAATCTAATCCATACATATTGACTTTGGGGCAATAGAAGTGTGCAGGGATTCATTATAAAAGGGATGGCATGCTCACAAGTGGTAGAAGGTGTTTTTCTTCTGAGGAAAAAGTTTAGTTTGTTAATAACATAGCTTCAGTTGTCCTAAACTACAGTATTGAATCCCTTGACCTTTCATTTTCTGTTTTCCTCTTCCTATCAATTAGGAAGGAGAGTGAGAACAACTTTCATTGTGGAAGGGAAAGCTGAAACCTGGGTTAGCATAAAGCTATTTCTCTTTGTTCGTGTCTTGTTCTCTGGCCCTTAAATTATAAGCCACATCCAAACATGTGCAACCTTTATCTAACTAGAACTATCAGTTTCCAAGAAATTAACAGGTACATGTGTAATTATAGAATGATATACAAGCATCAGACAGGCTAAATTACAAACTACCCATTACCAATAAATGTGTATCAACTGAATATCACCTCAGGCAAACGGAGCTGGTAAAAGGAAAAACAATTCTGTTTTTGGAGTGCACTGGGCAGGCTGAAGATAGCGATCAAAACCTGCTCTTTAACAACAACATATGATCTCTTGACAGAGGGAACTGCATGCTCAGGGGCAACCAGCACGGGTTCATCAGCGGCAGGTCCTGTCAGACCAACCTGGTGCCCTTTTACGACCAGGTCACTAAATCATTGGATGCAGGGGTGGCAGTGGATATAGTTTTCCTAGACTTCAGGAAGGCTTTTGACACTGTCTCTCACCCCATTCTCATTAGGAAGCTGGGGGACTGTGGCGTAGACACCCATACAGTCCAATGGGTCGCCAACTGGTTAGAGAGTCGCACCCAGAGGGTGGTAGTGGATGGGTCCTTCTCGACCTGGAAGGACGTGGGAAGTGGGGTCCCACAGGGCTC